AACTGTATTAACCTTACTTTTAGCGCTACCCAGAAATAGGTATGCCTATTAACATTTTCCTCAAAAAAATAATTATTACTGCGCATGCGTAAGTATCTAACTAATAACTAATAACGTACTAACTAATAACTTAAACCATAACCCAACGCAACCCATAATCCAAAACGAGCCCATAACGATAATCTGACCAATAACCATAACCCAACCCATAACCCATATCCAAGTAAAGACGGCGACTCCATAATGATTGCGAAAAAAACAATGAATATTAAAAATCCTTAGTACGTACATGTCTCATGAATATTTTGAATATCTCTCTCATAAAAACATACTTTGTTTAGTTGTTACATCAATTTGATTTTTCATAGTCATAAAGTACGATTCAATAATTCTTCGATTCTTCTCTTTTTTTATAGTTTGTAAAATTTCGATTAACATTGCATTATCTACAATTTGTTAAGGTGAAGAACAGCTCTAAAAATGGCTGACTATCAGCCCGATGACATTGTTGATATGATAATGGTGTTAGGCGAAAGTCATAATAATTATCGTGCTGCAGCAAGACTTTACGCTGAACGCTTTCCAGATAGACGACACCCAGATCATAGGACAATAAGTACATTAACTGAAAGAGCTCGTGGTGGACATATGGTTCGCCATCGCAGGCGCCACGAATACGACGAAAATGATGCTCGTGTTCTGACTGTTCTTGCAATCGTTCACCTTGATCCTCATATCAGCAGTCGCCGAGTTGAAAGAGAAATTGGCATACCTAGAAGAACCTTTTTGAGAATTCTTAAAGTCCATAAATATCATGCTTATCATTTAACTTTAGTTCAAGAGTTACAGTTTCATCATTTTCAACAGCGAATTATGTTTTGCCAATGGGCTTTGCAGATGATAGAGAATGATCCTGTTTTTTTCAACTTTGTGCTTTTTTCTGATGAAGCTAAATTTCAAAGTGACGGAGAACTCAATAGGCATAATTGCCATTATTGGTCGGATGAGAATCCTCATTGGCACAGGACTGTGAATCATCAAAGACGTTGGAGCCTTATAGTATGGTGTGGCATCGTCAACGGATATTTCATTGGTCCTTATTTTTTTGAGGAAAATGTTAATAGGCATACCTATTTACATTTAATTAGAGATCGGTTACCTGAATTGATGGAAGATGTCGATTTAGAAACGCGACGAAGAATGTGGTTCCAGCAGGATGGTGCACCACCACATTTTGCACGAATCGTACAGGCTTTCTTGAATGAAAATTACTATGGGAGATGGATTGGACGAGGCGGTCCGGTTAATTGGCCTGCTTGTTCACCCGATCTCACATCCCCAGATTTTTTTTTATGGGGCTATTTGAAAAATATTGTTTTCGAACAACAGCCCACAACAAGAGCAAACTTTGAAGATCGCATTCGTCGAGCATGCGCTGCAATTCCAAGGCAAACTCTCCTTAACACCGTACGCCATTTCCAAAGACGTTTGATTTTATGCCTTCAAGCAAATGGAGGCAACTTCGAACATTTGCTTCGAAATTAAATTAATAATTTTTAAAATAGTGAGAGGCGAGGGGACTCACTTTAATCCAGCACCCCAAAGGAAACAGTACTTACTACGTCCACGTCGTTGTTTCTGGGTAGCGCTAAAAGTAAGGTTAATACAGTTAAAGAAACCCTCGAAAATAGTGATTCCCATTTTGAAAAATCACTATGACCTTGAAATAACCTTGAAAATCGAGTTCAAGGTCAAGATCAGAGTACAGATAGGTGACCCCCTCGGCCCCCTTTAACATTTGTCTGAACCAATTTTACGTATTTGGCTTAGGTTCCGATATATTCAATTGGGAAATCAAAATTCGCAAACCTGACCTTCATTCGACCTTGCCATGACCTTGATTAACATATCATTTTGAACGTAAAATTTCCCGCTCTTTTCAAATCCGGGGTCAAAAATAGGTGTTCCCATTTAAAAAAATCACTTTGACCTTGAAATAACCTTGAAAATCGAGTTCAAGGTCAAGGTCCTTGGTACCATTACGTGACCCCCTCTGTCCCCTTCTACTTTTGTCTGGACCATTTTTCTCTATCTGACTTAGATTACGAGAAATTCAGGTGGGGAGATTAAAATGGCCCACCCTGTATATATATATTGTTCGCGCACTGCCGGGTTTTCCGACGGCGAGCGAACTTCCCGGATAGCTCGCGCGATGTGTTTGCGTAAGGATGGGTGAGGCACTGAATTTACGGAAAGTCGAATCACTTTTCGGTTGGTCTTTTATTGACAATGGATGCTTACGATATCGAGTGCAGAGCGAGTGAGAGGAAGTAATATCTATTCCCATCTACAACTAATATATTTTATGGCTACTCTTGCTTTGCTCTATTCTGTCTTTTATCCACAGGAACAATATGACTGCGTCGGACGATACAATTGATGTAGTCTACGTAAATCCTTGTGCGTTGACTTCCGACACCGACTTACGTCTACGATACTGTCGGAAACG